ACAGAGTTAACTACTCCCACCTTACTCACCTACAAAACACTCCTAAGAGCTACACGAAGATGTCAAGAACACAACAAACGTATCAGTTCACATAACAAAGAGGAGAAACAGACACAAGTAACCAAATGCCAACCAGACCTCAATGGAATGCCTGACATTGAACAGGGTATTGAATTACCAGAAAGAGAATGCAAAAGAATGAAGCTTGCACTCACACAAGAGATGAAGGAGAGGTGAAAACATAGAAAGGCTAGCAACCTCACAACACGCCTTACAAGCAAAACTCCGAAATAAACACAAACGTCAAACACTACAATACCAGAATTATACAATACTATAAAAGAACAGAGAAAAAGAATTGAAGAGATGAAAACCTGAATGAGTGAGCTTGGACACAAATCTATAGACTCTTACCTAAAAGAAGGAAAAAAATAACAAAATAAAAATACAAAAAGAATCCAAGAAAAACTTGAGAACAATGCGGGACACAATCAAGAGAAACAACCTCTGTCTTACAAGGATCCCAGAAAAGGCAGAAACAAAAATATCCACGCAGAGAAGAGGCCTCCTATTCTCCTGCAAGACAACTTTTCTGAATGCCTAAAACAAGAAAGGACATGTATACATTGATGAAAGAAGCCAAAAGAATCCCAATCAGGAGAGATCCCAAACTTCCCAGCATAATACAGCTAAGATATCTAACATAAATGACAAGAAAAAAATGCAAACAGCCAAAGAAAAAGGAACAATGACATAAAAACGGTAAACAATGCGAATAACTCCAGATTTCTCAGCAGAAACCAGGCAGACAAGAAGACAATGGAGTAACATATAGAGAGTCCTGAAAGAAATCTGTCAACCTAGAATCTTGTACACAGCGAAGGTATCACTTACATATGATGGAGAAATAAAAGTATTACAAGACAAAGAGATATTAAAAGAATTCACAAAAGCAAGACCACCATAGCAAAAAATATTCAATAAAGCACTATGGTCAAAAAATCAAGAACAACAAAACACAAACCTGAAACCAACATACAAGACAATTCCTCACAAAAACCAACACACATGGAGCAGGATTTAAAGAAACTAGACACAACACACATACATACACACGTGCAGAACATGCAAAAATATAAAACAAAATGACAGTAACAAATACATACATATCAATAATCTCAGTAAATATTAATGGACTAAATGCACCAGTTGAGAGACAGAGAGTAGCAGAATGGATAAGAAAACAAAACCCACCAATATGCTTCATACATTAAGCAAACTTCAGAAACAAAGACATGAACAGACTAAAAATCAGAGGCTGGACGGAAGCCTACCCTTCAAACAACAACCAAAAGAAAGCAGAGGTAGTAGCAGTAATCTG